TTCAATAAAACGTACAGGACTAAAAACGTTATACTTCAGAGAAGTAAACACTAAAAAAGTAGGGTACAGACTTTTTTCACTACATTGACAAATATTCTGCTTGTTATTGAACAGAAAAATTAAGATGATTTTTCTGCAAAAATATCGACCTATCTCGATATCTGAGAAATGAAATCTGTACCTATTTTCGGAAAATCATGTAAAATGTGGTTGTTTCAATTATTGATGCTGACTAAGATTATTTTATGTAACGAGACGTAAAATCATCCTAAAGCAAAAAAAAGGCCTTAACTTGATCGACGCACAACCCGGCTGTATTCTTCTTTATGTTTTAACTATTTAATTAATTATAATTTATTTTGATGTAAATAATTTTGAAAGAACAATAAGGTTTTGCCATAGATAGATGAAGTGAAAAGGTAAGTAATGACTCGTAATTTCTTTTTCGAAATTTTTATAATTTGCCATGTTTTTAAGACCATTTTTTCGTAACATTCTTTTCTAAACTAACAAAAATTTAGGCATATCCTTAAAAAATCAACTTTGTTTGTGAATACATTGAAATCTTATAAAGATACAAAAAAATAGAAAGAGACAGGCAGACAAACAAATAAATGCCGAGAGAATCAAGAATGTAGAGAGGGAAATGTATAGATAAAGAGAGAGAGAGAGAGAGAGAGAGAGAGAGAGAGAGAGAGAGAGAGAGTAAAAATTAAGAGAGGGTGATATCCATCATCTTATGCACACATCACAAACCATCTTGCCTTCCAGTATGAAGGGCTTCTCAATTTTTGAGAACAAATATATTGTCCTACGGGAATAGGACAATATATTTCTTATAGAAAATAAAAATAATCGGTAGAAACCTAATTTGCAGATTCGACCAGAGGTGGGATCGCCATGTCAGATAACTTGACTGGCAATTAATTATATGCGTAGCATTGTCTACCGCACCGTTTAGTAATAAAAAAAAAGAAGTAAAAAACGGCATTTTCCCCCTCACATCAAGACAGAACCGTTGCGCGTTATTGCCTATGAGAAGCGCCGTAATCTAGGATAAGAAATAATGTGCGACACGGACCAAACAAGATGATATATACAGGCGGTGGCCCCTCACTTACAGGCACAACAAATCACAAGTCCAGAGCACAGAGTGAGGGGTACAAGGGGCCGGTAGACAAGGCTGCCACCCAACCCCCAACCCCTGAGACTCATAGCCTAAACCGTGCTCTCCTATAACTTATCCATTTACTTGTGCTCAAAACCACGAGGGTAAGTTTGCCTCCCCTTCCGTTTTCTCCCCCCCCCCGTTAACTGTCCATTTAAACACACATCTACTTAACACCATCAACTACACTTAGCCTTGATAGACAATGCCGTTAAACTAACATCAACGAGATTACATGGTAAACTTCGTCTTTAGACTTAAACTTATAGGCAATTTGCATCCGGCTTACAAGATTTCCCCTTCTATTTAAATTCGATCTAGCAAAGAAGCCCTAATTATGAAATCAAATGTAATATTGAAACAAAATGTTTTAATGTAAATAAATAATCTATTCATCTTAGTTGAACCGATTTAATTTATAATAATCAGCCCAGTAGATTACAATTTACGTTGGAAAAAAGCGTTAGTTAACCCGAAATTGAGTTGTTTGACAATATTCATGTCCTAAAGATATTAGTTTTGACTAATAATTTAAATTGGTTTAAACATAAGGCCACTTACTGCTTTTTTATAGATATAACAATCTAGCACCCTATTTAAGTCTTATTTTATTCGGTAAAGGTAGTCATAAAAAATAAATATTTGTTTTCAATTATGTTTTGTAAGGGAAAGAATTTAGTCTTTGGAAAAAAATCAATTAGCCTACTTACCAGTAGAATAATGCAGATAAAATTACCCCAAGTCACAAATATATTATAATTGTTCAATCCAAACAATATTTTCACTTGTATTGAATTTTATATCGTGAATTGCATGTTTGATTGGACTTGTATCACCCGTGTAATATTCTGTAAAGAAAATTTGATAGAACTCATTTTAAGTTCACTTAAGAAACTACATCACTGCTTACACGTTTTTTTTAGATTCCTATCTTTCTAATAATGTTTAAAGGATTATTTCTTAAATTATTTTCCTACGAGAAATAAAAAATGACGTTATAAAGGCCGGATGCTATTAAACAGGATTTCAGAGCCATTGAACAGGTTATCTTCCTTCCCATTTCCAAGATGTCCCTTACGACCGTAAAACTTCGACGCTGGTAAAATACACGAAGTTTTTTATGTTTAACCATTCTCGTAATGTTAACGCTAGAAATGTCTGACTTTAAGCCAATTTTTTACTTTTTTAATACTCAATTTAATCTGGGTAAATTTTTGTCTAATTTTCGTAAGAAAATAGATACGTTTTCATTTTTAAGCTGTCATAATTCCCTATTTAAAATTTTGAGATGTCAACGACACATGACGACACTCAACAATCAACACGCGAAAAGTAATATTGTATCAATGTAGCCGTAGAAAAATTAAAACGTTTCACTACCAAAATCAAGTTATTTAAAAAATTAATTTTATGCGATAATGTTAAAAATATGTATTATAACATTAGAACAAACCATTCATTATATTTTAGTTTTTGATAAAAAGAAAAATGTGGTAAGGATGATTATCACTACGAATATAATTGTTTGCATTGCAAGCAATTTTTTGAAACATTTTTTTCAGAAAAAAAAGCTTCCTTATAAAACATAACACGCCCACATACAAAACTTTTTACGTAATGATATTAGTAAACCCTCCTTTTAGGTATTGGAATTTTGTGTAGAACAATTCCATTCTATCCTCAACAGACTTTATAACAATATATTGCTCTCAACGGTAGAGAGGGGAAGATGATATATGAAATAAATTTTGTCTGTAACATTTTATTCATTGAGAGAAATACTTAATCTTTGTTATTTTCATTTAATAAGTGTAGTTAATAATAGGTAATAATAATAGGACACACATTTAATTTCTTCCTGCGAAAACCGCAGTTACAGATATAAAGTGTGTGTGTGTGTGTGTGTGTGTGTGTGAAAGAGAGAGGGAGAGAGAGAGAGCGAGAGAAAGGGAGAAAGTGGAGAGAGAGAGAGAGAGAGAGAGAGATTTTGGCGTGCCTTATCCAGCTTACAACCCTTTCGAACTTGATAAGATCAACGGCTTAAACCTCTACCGCCTGAATAATCAACGAAGATTTTAATCTTGAGTGGTTCTAGTGAACTAGATTAGGATGACTCCACGAACTACTACTCTAACAAATTTTATAGCACTTTTTGATTCACGGTTCGTAGTTTGTATGGTTAGGGATATACACTAGGTAAGACGACAAACCAACACATTATTAAAGATGGTGCTGAGTATGTTGAAGGGATCTTTAAAGCCCCTATTGACACTTGACTTGAGCGCCATATTGACCTATTGACATTTATAGAGGACTTCCATCTCCGGAAGCGGTTAGGCTTTTGATCCCGCACCTCAACGATTCAATGCCCCGTATATCTATATCCTCCGAACCCGTACTAGGCGCATGAACCTATAGCTGCTCTAATCCGAGAAAGACGTACTATAAGGATTCATTATCGGAACACGACTGGCACTCTTAAAAGAGCAAGCGGGTCTTTGGAAACGATGTCCTAGGCCAAATATATCGATTGGCTCGAGCGATGGTTCAGTCTCACTCTACATAACCATACTGTCTCCTCCTTTTTTTCAGTACTGGGAGTAAAATCTCTTAGGCGAAGTTTTTAGATTTATGAGCTGCCGCTTCTTCACTACGTAATAAACGCAAAAAGCATACGCTTTTTAAGCACCTGGCTTAGAACAGAAAGCAAATCATTTATTTGCTTAGCTCCGCGGAGTATTTGCTCCCTCCAACGGAAACTTGAATCACGAAGTCGACGGAACGTCGAAGTTCGTCAAAGCGTGCAGCTTCAATGCCGAGGTTCTGTTCGCCACCTGTCCTTATTGTTTTATAGAGGATCGGGATCAGCGATCGAGTAGGATATGAGAATTAGATAGATAATTAAAAAGACACATGGAAAGGTCAACTGCAGAGGCAGTCAGAGGTAGTGTCCGGTCAAAATGATGCATCAAATTGACAGTCTATGAGACCCTAAGTGCCTAAGCAGAGGAGCTCTCGTCTTCAAGATGCCTCCTCCCAGATCCTACCCTCCAGAAGCAGCTGCCGGGTTGTCCTCGAATCAAAGGTCTTACGGCCTCCACCTTCCCCAAAAGAGGTAGGCTATCTCTTTGCAGTGCAAGCTCTCCCTCGGGGTTCACCAGTACTTGATCGGCTAAGCGTTAATAAAGTCTCATCGTAGCTATTTTTGGAGGATGGTGAAAAGCCGAAACGCGCCTGACAGACCAAAACAGAGAGAATAGGCAACCAAATGGAGAAACTATAGGTCCAACACTACGCAGACCCCAAGAAACAATTTCACAGTTAATATAGTTTTCAATGTTAGATTTTTTCAACTTTATGTATCGTCTCCTATAGATATAACTATTTACTTGACCTATATTTGATAGAGAATGTTATTCGTGAAATTCAATGTTTTTGCAGAATCACTTTGAGCGCTGTCTACCCATTTTATTTATTAGAGAAAAGCATTAATATTGGCTTGTGTGCCTTGTGCGCATGTAAGCGTTAAAATACAAATAACAAATAGGTTTTTAATGGTACCTCCCCCGTTTCTTATTTGTGGGCGTTCCGCGAAAAATTTCTCGCAACATTACCCCAAAAACGTAACAGTGTTTACTCGTAAAATGAGTGTAACACCCCTGGTTGAGGATTTTCTGGATGGAAAACCAATATCGTTAGAATCACATCTCACTGAGCAAATTGCTTCTCGCCCTTTGTGATGTTTTGATAGCGCGTGAAAGTAGAATCCGAACGGTAAAAAATATCCGCGGTCTTCTTTCACACCCGCGGAATAGAAAAAAGTTGTCCTTACCTTCCAGGAGAGTCGTCCCGTTGTACCACTGAATCGTTGGAATCGGCTTGGCTCCACCGGAAGAACAGGTCAGGGTGATTTCGTCGTCTTCGGTCAACGGGCCGATCTTTGACCCGTTCGTTATCTCTTTCCCGTCTCCTTCAATTGTAATGAACTCAGGTTTAACTGAAGAATAAAAATAAAGAAAATCACATTAGCAAGTTATTTTATAAATTAAAGTGATAAATTAATATTTATAACATGTCAAATCAATATTCTTACGAAATGTGTAGTGTTTAGTGAACGTTAGTTAATGATTATTCAGAAATCGTGAGATGAGGTCTGGTGTGATGTAGGTTTCAGAAAAACATTTTCTTTATCGTGCCAACGTTTCGATCTTTATTGGATCATCTTCAGGGCTCGAAGTGTTTGTCTTCTGTGTAATTGTGCCATTCTTGCGTGTCGTGTTGAGAGTGCCACTAAGATCGAAACGTTGGCACGATAAAGAAAATGTTTTTCTGAAACCTACATCACACCAGACCGCATCTCACGATTTCAGAATAATTAATCGATTAACGGTCACTAATCACCACACATTATTTTGTATATAATATTTTCTGTTTTTTAATTTTTTATTCCTTTTTCGTTGTTTAATTATTACAACCAAAGCATTTTATTTAGAAAATATTATTTTCTTTATTCTCAGTTTTTGGAATAGGTTACATATTAAATAAAAATAGTTATATATGGATTAAATCACCAAAACGTTATTAAATAAATAAATCGTTTGAGGCAAATTAAGGCCAATATACAAACGTCAAATTGTAATATTGTGACATTTTTGGCTTAAACATAATTTACAGCATTACTCTCCCTGACGTTTCTTGTTTGTAACGGCCTTTTAATTAAAAAAAAATCTTTGCATATTGTAACTTTTAATTAAATATTACCCTACCTACGACTTTGAGTAATAAATTTTCTTAACGAAGGGTTTTGAAGTTAACCTGCTCCAGGGGATCTGGGTAAATTAGGTCGTAAGTTTTTAATACCAGTTAACCTCTGTCGGCGTAAATCTGGACAAGGTTAAAACCGGGACGACTTAATGGCAATGAGGATTGTCCAGGCAAAGTTAGAGCCCTGCACACAAGTTGAAACGATAATGTATAGTTTAATAGAGGGTTCCCGACCACCGGGCTTAGATTAAACCGGTCCCAACTTGAGATTTAGCCGGATTATGGAAAACCAGGGTATGAACTCGGGAAGAGAAAACAAAGTCTCGTTCGTTAACTGCACATGGTGGCCATCTAAAATTTAAAATTTTAAAATCCCTTCTGGTTAATGACAGTTTTATGGTGGTTCCCTGTTTGATGGGGAGCGTTAACCGCACACAGCGTGGATATTAAATTGGTGGTACGGCAATTAAAAGACGGGCGTCAGGCCGGGCTTCACTTTCATATGAATTAACCTTACCGAGGGGAAATATTGAAGGAGTAGAGGTAACCCCGGTAATCAGAGGCACCCAACCCTCTTCCACGAGTTTGAAAAAAAACCAGTTTAGCTAGGAGAACTTTGCACATCTTTCAGTTGATAACATAATAACGTAAACTTTATTACATAGTTTTTAAATGGACAATTTCAAGAATTAAGTGTACACTTTTATTATAGCAAAACGCCAGACAGTTAATATTACGCGCTACCATAAAACATCCTCGGACATTTCACAGTATCTCTCCCAGAATACATTCATAGAGCAATTTCGAAAGTTCATACGGTGCTTTGAAGGTAAAATGGAAGAGGAATGTTATATGAGCTTCTCCTCGGGTGAGTATTAAAAAAGACGAGGGTTGTATGTCTCCCTGTGTATATACACCTCTTTCGGTTCAACCCCTGGAAAGTAAATGAAAATGCTTTAGTTGTCACCCCCCGGTGTGGTATAATATGAAACCGTCTGTTTTTGCATGCTTAGTTTAAGTGCAAATAAGCAATTATAAATCGAAAAGTTAACTAACATTTCATGAATTGGTCAACAACGAAAATATTTTTATTGAACCCCTTACAAAATACTAACTTTTTCTATTTATAAATTTCATTTCTATAAAGAATGGTTTACTTGATCTGCTTGTAGGTCTATTTAAGCAAAATAATATAATCTTGAATTACAGTGAAATTTAGAAAATAAAAATGTACCTATAACAGTAGTATGTTTAATTTATTAATGATTTACTAAATTGGTTTAACAAAAAAGAAGGCGCATTCCCAATAATGTAATACAGTTACGAATATATTTAATCTTCAAGTGATGATATCATATATATATCTAATAAACATATAAATACATATATGAATGTACATAAAATATTAGGCTGCGATAAAGCTTCAAGTTTCGATGAATATATATCCTCTTCATGAGGGATTTACAGTTATTTCCAATGATTTAAACGGTCAACAAACATAAATATCTACTTACAAAATTTCAAATTTTTTGACAGAATATCCAGATGTAGGTTACAATATTGTAATGTAGGATCAGTTGTGGTAGATCTCGTCAACTTTACTAACCTACATTCATAAATTTTTTATGGTTAAATGCATAATTTCAAATATTGTAAGAAGATGTTTATATTTCTTACCGATAAATTATTAGAAATAGTTTCAAGGTACTGATGGTTACTTGAAAATTTGACAAAGAAACAGAGTGGTTTTCTTTCTTTCAAATTCGCCTTATTATTTATGTTTTATATACAATCATAACAATGTTTGAATTTTTCTGTTTTGATGTCATAATAAAATGGTTGTTTGTTGTATTATATTTTTTCAAATGTTTAATATTAATCCGAATATCTTGATTTTACCAAAACATTTTCGTCTTATGCATGACAGCTTCTGTTATAATAAATTATTCAAATTTGAGCAAAACGATGACAGCCAGTGCTTCTCGAGAAAAGGTATGAGCATTGAAGTGAAACATCTCCGCCATTTGATTTGCATTAGACGGAGGAAAGTGCTCTCCTCAATGCGAAGTGCTCTCTTCCATTTGCCATCTACCATATACTACAGGTTGTGAGTCAGTCGTATGAGTTAGACGAAAGCCCTCCGGCCTACCATAAACGTTTGCCAATTATCGCATTCCTGAAAGAAGCCAATTTCATGGACGACCTGAGGGCGGATTAACGGCGTTAATATAAGGTCGGCCCATTACTTAGCTACCGTTCAAAATAGCCCAATCCGTATTCGTGTCCCAACCGCTGGAATTTATATAGAATTCCGTAATATTCTCCTCTCTCTTCTTCCATTGTCTCACGTAAATCTTCTTGGGCAAACGTTTGTAACTGTCAAAAATTGTCCCCATCTGCTTTGAGTAATCCTCTCTTGTGATTTTCGTGTAATAACGAATTTGGGTCCGGATCGGCTATAAATACTGGCGGTAGGAGGACAATACGTCACCCCCTTCAACGGGTAATTTGTCCTTCTTGTCCCAACCCACAGTTCCTAATCCCGCGAACAAACTTGTCCCGTACTAACAAGAGAGGGAGAAACGGCCACATTTCCTGTTGGGACCTACAGCTTATCACCTGAATTAATCCTTTTATCAAACTCGACCCACGTTTTTCCCCCTAAATTCACGGCTTGACACTTTTCGTCGTAATCTCGAGTTTATAACAAATTGGTTCTGCAATTTAAAAATACTGTCGTGTAACATATTTTATGCAATTTATATAACGATATCGTTTGAGTTTTTTTATTGCAGCTATCTCTAAAATAGCCCTATTTCCTTTTTATAACGATTATCCTGTTGCCATAGTCAAATATGGCTTCTAATAATTCCATTTTTTAGTGCAAAAAATTTATACAGCAAACCTCCTTATGTATTTTATACAACTCACTATTTCACACTTGGAGCTACAATAAAATTTGTGCATTATAATATTAGAGATCAAAAACGTGAAATTTGTAAAATTTAAGAGTAGGCTGATTAAAAACAGTTTAATATATTTATTTTTTTAAACTTGTTATTAGTTTTTACAATTAATTAAGGTTTTCAGTTGAGATAAAAAAGTCAATGGCCGAGCGGGATTCGAACCCACGACCTTCGGCTTGATACGCCGCTACCTCGATCCACTTGGACACCAACTTCCAACCTCAACCACACCTTTTGAATTTTCCCTCCTCGTGCCATTGACTTTTTTTTATCTCAAATGAAAACCTTAATTAATTGTAAGATATTAACTGGTCAAGCGGACCACGAAATTAGTGAATTGAACTTGTTAATAGTGTTTTAAATGAACAACTTTACCAAAATGCATTTTAGCATTTATTTGCAATGGTAGGCGGTTAACTGATTGTTCGAATTGAGCATTCCAAATAAGTTTTATTTACGATGGTATTAAAAACAATATTCTCAGTTAGACGTTGCCAAGTTATATTTCTTAGAAGCTTTAAATCATCTATAACAGTGAATGTAGGGTACCCTTTTCTACCCGTCGCCTCACAACTTGCTAACATCCTCTATATCTTTTGGAATAAGAGAGTTAATTTTCTGGAAGAAAGTTTTCGTATGTCTTTCCTTCTTCCACTCGCTCTTTCTCAGAACTACAAGTATGTCAAATTTAGTATCGGATTTTCCTTTTAACTGACGCAACATTCCAACATTATGTTCGTTTTTTGCCAGTTTTTGCCAACAAGTAACGTTATATTATTAAAATTAAACGTTAATTTGTTTATATTAAATAAATTAAGTTAAATGAACTTTATCTTACTTCACCAATAGTTAAAGTATTTACGTTATTAAAGAAATTGAACATTTATATTGAGTAAGCTTGGCAAATTTTTTTATTTTTTTAAATTACATTTATTTGGTATTTACAACTACAAGTGATGTATTCAGTAAAACTGTTCGTATATGTTGAATTATCATTTGAGGCTCTTTTAGGAGAAGTTGCCCAGTGGTAACACTCCTTCACACTGATATCTTGTTCAGTCTTCACACAATGAGAAGGTCTCGGAGCCACTTTCGCTTCAACCGTCTTGGAGGATTTTCAGGTAGGGTTGGAAGTGATAAATTTCGTACGAATAGATTACTGTGTGTGTTCAGTGATTGATGAAATTTTTTATATCGGGTTTTAATGAGTTGGTGTACAAACGGGATGTGTAGGTCTTTATAGCTAGTGTAATTTGAAACGTAAATA